TTTACAGAAATCTAGGCACCATGACTGGTTCATGCTCACATCAAAAGTTAAGGCAGAAGGACCATGTGGAAGATCCATTAATACCAAGATTGGGAATGGACCTATCCCTACGAGTCAGCCTCTCTGGTGATGAGATCTCATGTCATCTTTGTACCCTCTACATCCCGCACATACTGCCTCATGGCTAGGTGGAGTCCCCTTTTCCTGCCCCTCCAAATAACCCAAATAACCCTTATTCTTTTGAGAACCATTACTTTAGTGATCAGTAGCTTAAATTACATTTTCTTTATAATAGCACATTCACATGCAACCCGAAATGGCAAAGAAAAGATGATAAGAGTTGTAGGAGGTGGGCTGGGTTCAAAGAAGTAATTTGAACATTCCTCTGGACAGGAGAAACAACACTCAGTTTTCTTTTTCTACCAAAGGGAGCACAAACTCACTGTTACTTGAGCATGGGTGAGGACCACAAACTCACTGTTACTTGAGCATGGGTGAGGACCACAAACTCACTGTTACTTGAGCATGGGTGAGGACCACATGTAAAATCCCTGTTACTCCAGTTAGGCCCTGCTTCATGCGCTTAACTCTGAAACATTGCCAACTCTTTCACATTTGATCTAGAAAACAGAAATACTAAGCGTCACGGTTAACATTCCTTAAATACTCAGAGCCGGGAACTGTGCCCTCAAGGTCAACAAGCCTTAGGTCATTGTGCTCTGTAATCAGCTCCACCACGCTGTGCAGTTTGTGCTGGGTATCTTCCATTTGCCCTCCACCACCATCCCTACCCGCTTCCACTTTGCTCTCTCTGCCCTGGGAGGCTTGTCTGTGCAGCTTATGACATCTGCTCTCTTGCCCTCTAGCTTCTCCTTGGGTTCGGCCAACAGGCAGCCTCAAGGGAGCAGGGTTTCAGAGAAAGGAAGGAAAGGAAGGTCAGGTTCTTTCCCTGTGAGGCCACTTCTGGTAGACTAAGGTCTTGGCTTTTCTCAAAGAGGCCTTTGCTAAGCACCTCTTCCCCCTTCGAGTTCCTGTCACTTGTCTCTTCCCTCTTTCCTATGAACCTGAGTTACCTCACTACCTTGTGTGGCTTCCTAAACCAATTCCACACATTGAGAGCTTCCCTTTTTTGTAAATAAAACCTGTTTGAATGACCCTAACCCGAGTGCAGCCTCTATTTCCCGTCAGGATCCTGATATAGGTACTGTGATTATACCCATTTTACAGACAGGCCTCAGAACTAAGTAAAGCCACTTGTCCAAGGCCTCACAGCTATTCAGTGGCAGAACTGGATTTCAAAACCAGACCTGGCGAAGTCCAGAGCCCACATTCTCAACTGCTATACTGGAACAGCAATAAATGGTTCTGGACAACGCAGGCAAACTGGGCATCCTAGGGACACGGCCTCATGTACCTCCTCATGGGAATGTGTGGTGGGCAGAATGACACGGTGCAGATGGTTTGCCCCCCTGTCAGCCTCTTTATCAGGCAGAGAGCTTACCCAAAAGACAGTGGACAAAAAACAGACATCCTCACTGGGCTTGCTGCCCCTGCATCCTGGACTCTATGATACTGGGGCAGAAGACACCTGCCAGTACAGAGAGGCTGGAAGGGGCCACCAGACACATTTAAATCCTGGCTGGGAATCATATTCCAGACCCCCATCAGCCTTTCTCTAATGGCCCTGGTTGAACCAAGAGAGGCTCCCATTGGGTCCAACAGATTAGAACAGGCTGTGGTTGATGCTTTATTCCAAAAGGAAAATCAGGGCTACATCTGACCCCCCAACATCGAATTCATTCACTAGGCCCTAGGAGAATTCATAGCCAGAACTAAAGATGTCACTTGCATCTGAGCAGGACTGACCTCAGCATGCTGGTTTCGGTCTTCCACCTCAGGAAGCTGCATAATCTTTATTTAATTCTGCAACACTGAGCCTCCCTCTGCAGAGTGAGGAATTTGTCATCTCAGGCCTCAGATTAAGTGAAAAGAATTTTTTAGCTAAAATAGTTACGTATATACATTTCCATAAATCATTTTACCATAAATTAGGAAGAAGTCTACTTCCTCTGCCTAAAGCAAAAAAGATTTTAAGCGAGGATTCTCAACAGTACCTTCTTCCAAGTAGTTCTGTTAACCTCTTGTGCCTATCTTGGGATTCACTGTACTGAATTACGTTGACAGATCATCTCCTGCACTGTAAAGTGAGGTCCTTATAGGCAGACCCTATACCTCCTTCATCTCTCCATCCCTGGCCCAACACATACAGCGGGCACTCAATACATACTACAAGAAAAACACATGTGGATGCCCTCAGAACACCCTGCAAGGGCTGCTGTCGGAGTGTGTTATGCAATTACATGTTGACTCATCAGCCTCATCCACAAAGGGAGACACCATCTTTTATTTAATTTTATACCTCCCATGTTTGGAATATCATGACTGCTCAAAATATATTTTGTTGGGAAAAAAAAGAGACGGAGGACACAGCAAGCAAGAAATAAAGCTTAATTGTCTTTGGCACCCTTGCATTGTGTGGAGGTACTTAGACAGCTCTTTGGATTGGTGTCAGAGGGTTATACCCACTGTATGCCCCAGTCATTCCACAGAAGGCTGCATTTCCATCATGGAGTTGCCTTATAGAGAGGATAATGGAAGAGAAGGGTCTGATAAGCAGGATGCTAGTGGGGCTGGTCACAAGAGTAACAGCCTCTTCCTTACCCAAGTCAACTGCCAGTTATTCCTAAGATCTCAGGTCAAGTGCCCCTTCCTATAGGGAACTACCCCTGGCTCTCCAATAGCAGTCGTGTTGTTTTCCTTCGAAACTTCATTCTGTATGTAACTGTATATTCGTTGGTGTGATCTTTTTGGCGAGTGCCTGACTCTCCTGAAAGTCTCATCAGTTCCATCTGTTTTGTTCATTATTCTATTCCCAGGACCAAGCGTGAATCTTCCAATTAGGTGTTCAGTAAATCAGTGCTGAATGAATGAGTGAATAAACAAATTGTCACTCTATGCTCGACTCATATTGGACCACATTTTCTCATTCCTGGTCCAGTGTTCTTTCTCTTAATACCAGCCATTTTAAATATTGTCTTTTATATGTGTGTAGGAATTGAGGTTTTCCTATAAACCAGTCACTCTGACCTGTCCTCACATCTGTTTACCTGGGTGCTGTCCCTGCAGGTGGCCTATCCAACATCTTGGTTACCTCATAAAAGAAAGCCATACACTCTAACCCAGTGTTTATTTGTTTCTAAACCAGTGATTTTTAAACATGCTTTTTGTAGAAGACCTCTTTTAAAATCTACATCCAACAGACTGTAGTATATCCAAACAGTGGAATATTATTCAGTGATAACAAGAAATGAGCTCTCAAGCCATGAAAAGACGTGGAGGAAACTTAAGTGCATATTGCTAAGTAAAAGAAGCCAATCTGAAAAGCCTACATGTTGTACGATTACAAAGATATGACTGACGTAGGGAAAACTATAGGGACAGTAAAAAGCTCAGTGGAATCCAGGAGTTCAGGGAGGGCTGAATAGATGGAGCACAGAGCATTTTTAGGACAGTGAAACTATTCTGACAGTAAAATGTGCATACATGGCATTATGGGTTTGTCAAAACTCATAGAATGTACAAGGAGTGAACCCTAATTTAAACTATGGACTTTAATAATAATATATCAGTATTGGTTCATCACTTGTAACAATAAACTATGGACTTTAATAATAATATATCAGTATTAGTTCATCACTTGTAACAAATGTACCACACTAATGGAAGATGTTAATAAAAGAGAAAATGGGGTGAGGGATGGGTTGGAAAGGAAAAGGGATATTTGGGAACACTCTGTAATTTCTGCTCAATGTCCCTGTAAATCTAAAAGTGCTCTAAAAAGTCTACTAATTTTTTAAAATCTGGATCCTAGTTGGTCATTCAATGTATAAAATATAATAGATGGGTTCTAGCTGAAGTAGGAGTGCAGTCCTTCCCACTTTCTACCTACAAACTCATCTCAGGTCTCACTTCCCTCCTTGTGGGTCCCTGAGATATGACTATGGCTAAGCAATTACATGAAACCTTCCCTTGCTTTGCCTACCCCCCAGCTCCCATCCCCACCCCCAGCACCCCAAGTGTGCCCTCAAGAGTCTGACCTGACTCCTTGCTCTGTAGCCCATTGCTATTTTAGAAAGGCAGGTGGTCTCCTTGTGGCTTCTCGTGGACCTTAGCACAATTTACCTGATTGAAACGTTACTCTTCTCACTTTGGCTTTTCCATTGCATTGGCTGAGAAATCCCAGTTTGGGCCCAGGCATCTCCCACAAATGTCTATCCAGGACCCGTGGGAATGGGAGACCGTGGAGGAGTACAGACAGGAGGGAACATGGATTCTGAATGGGGTGTATGTGAAGCCAGACTGTTTTCATACTCCAAAGTCACAGCCGAGACTCCTCAGCAGTCCTACTTATAAACACACCACAATTGCTAACAAAGAATCCAACAGAGAACTCAACAACCCCTTGAGGCAAACCAGAACCTGTTAACTAAGAGTGGTGACACCACAATTACCAGCAAATGTTTGCTGGGAGGAAGGGGAGTCTGTGAAATGCCTCAGGGCACCGAAACCATTAGGAGCCAGTTCCACCAATGAACGGAGTGCTTCAGAGCAGCAGCTGTATCTGGGAGAGTTTCTGAAATAAGCCCTGGCTGCACCAGCCGAGGCCTCTGGGCAGGGGGGAGCAAACTCACCTTCTCCAGGAGCAGGGAGGCAAGAAGCACAGCATCTCCCTGGCTACCCAGCAAAGCCAGCCTCAAAGCCTTTCAGGAATCTCTGCTATTTGTGGAAACTGGATCGCATTCCCCAAAGACCAGCATTCCTACACCCCGTGCACTTTCCGTGGCTGCTTTTCTTTACTTTCCCTCACTCCAATTAAAAAGGCAAGAGTGGGCCCTTATCCTCCACTCATGCTGGGGACCCTCCATGACACTCACCTGGAATGCCCCCATCAGAGGCCATGCATCGCAGAGGCGATCCCAGCAATTTTCATTCCCATATATTCACAGGTCATAAGGTGAAATGTCATTAGCATACTCTTGAATACCTAATGGGATTGGAGGAAAAAAAAAAAAATAGATCCTCATTGATGTGACCAATGTGCCAATTAAGACTGAGGTCTTTCTTCTTTGGCTTTTCTGTGCTGTCATCCCAACACAATCTCAGGGGTAGGTGAGTGACAAAACAATGTAATTGCTATTGTATATTTGCCACAAAGAACACCCAGTTAGAAACCTTCCCACTGGGGCCAGCAGTGGACATTAGTCTGCATTTTTTCGAATAAAATAGGGAAAATGTGTAGATGGGTGTAGAGTTTTTGGAAAACAATAGAAACTGAATTTAAGCTTAGATTACATCTTTACAGAACCTGAATTTAAGCTTAGCTTAAATTCTTAAGAGAACCAACCCTCCCAACCAACTAACAAAACAAACAAAAAATATCCACAAGAGTCTGTGAGGTTTTCTGTTCAAATGGTCCTTAATGGGGCACCTGGGTGGCTCAGATGGTTCAATGTCTGCCTTCGGCTCAGGTCATGATCCTGAAGTCCCGGGATCGAGCCCTCCATCTCCCACATTGGGCTCCTGCTTAGACAGGAGTCTGCTTCTCCTTCTCCCTCTGCTCCTCCCCCGTTTATGCTCACTCACGCTCTCTCTCAAATAAATAAAATTTAAAAAAAGAAAAAAAAAAGTTCCCTAATGATGTCTGTGCCCATACATTTGTCTTTTCTGGCCAGTATATCTCCATTATTCCAGAAGAGACACCACTTTATTTTTAGAATAGTGTCTCCAACATTGCTCCTTCTGCAACCCCTATCCAAATATGCACTTCTAGTGAGAACTGCCAGTAATCGTATCCTAATTACTTAGCTGCAAGATGGGCATCTCACCAAAAGCAGACCAATCAGAGTTCTTCCCAGCAGCATTCAGAATAGAACTGAAGGGAGAAAGACCCTTTTCCCTTTGCTGGGAAACTGAAAAAAAGTGATTTCTGGAACTGAGGGCAGGTGTGGCTCCAGGGAAGGCTTTTGTCTAAAGGAATGAAGAGGACTTGCAGAGAAAAGCAAAGATATGACAGGGACAACCCTGTGGACATTCAAGTCCTTGGTTTAAGGTACATGTGGTAGACTTAAATCATGTCTCCTTGTATCCACAACCTGCACAGTCCCTTCCCACATTGATTCAGGTCTTGGCCATATGACTTGCTTAGGCTGGTGGGACATCAGCAAATGTGATGTGATAGAGGCTTGAAAAATACTTATGCATTGGGACCTACCCTCTCCCTTGCTGCTTTTAGAACTTAGTCAGCATGTGAAGAAGCCCAGGCTAGCTTGCTGGAGAGAGGTGGCCCAGCCGATAGCCAGCACCATTTGCTGGACATAAAAGGAAGACCATCATGGATCATCTGGCCCCAGTTATGCCCCATGAGGGATACCAGAGATGAGCAGAAGAACCATCAAGTTGAGCCCAGCCCAAAATGATGGTGCACAGAGTTATGAGCAAATGGAAGGGTGGTTGTTTATTTCACCAAGTTTTAGAGTGGTTTGTTGCTCCACAATAAATAACTTGTGGGTCCCTGGGACCTTCTTGCTATCATGTAAAGAAGGGGACAGTAGGACAAGAAACCATGTAGAAAGAAGAACCCACGTGTCTCAAAGATCCCAGCTGTCCCAGCCAGCCATCTAAGGTCACAGATGCAACACTAAACCCAGTGGACACCACATGAAGCACAGGTGAGTCTCCCACGTGAGTTCCCAATCCACAGATTCATAAGCAAATATGTGTTTATTTAAACTTAAACTTTAAAAGCCACTGAGTTTTGGAGTGGCTTGTTATTCAGCAAAAGCTAACCCCTCTAACTTTCTTTTTTTTTTTTTTTTTATTTGTGAGAGAGAGAATGAGAGACAAAGAGCATGAGAGGGGAAGGGTCAGAGGGAGAAGCAGACCCCCCGCTGAGCAGGGAGCCCGATGCGGGACTCGATCCCGGGACTCCAGGATCATGACCTGAGCCGAAGGCAGTCGCTTAACCAACTGAGCCACCCAGGCGCCCTCCTCTAACTTTCTTGAAACCACTCATTTTTGCCTTTCTCCTGAAGCCACTGTCTTCCAGATTTTGCCCAATCTGCTGTGCAAGACTGTTCAGTGCATTCCTAATACCCAATAGCTCTTCTTCCCTTGACTGAAAAATATAGATTTTGTGTAGGGGGGAATGTACCATCCTCTAAATGCTCTGTCCGTGTCCCTTGCAGCTAGATGTGGTTATGTGACGCAGCTGAAGGCTTTAAAAGGGACATAACAATTGAGGAGGCAGACCACATCTCTTCCACTTTCCACCTTCCTTACTAGAATACAGATGTGATCACTGGAGCCACAGCAGCTCTTTTGTGACCATGGGTTTTAAAAAAAAGAAAAGAAAAAAGAATCACAGAGATGCCAGACCTGATTTTGTTAGAGAAAAACAAGAAAAACAAAAAATTGGTTTTAAGACACCTGTTTAAAGTGAGCTGCTGTTTCACATAGCTACATTCGATCTTGAGAGAAATGAGTTAGATTTCTGTCACTAGTGATCCAAAGAGTCCTGATCAGTGATTTGGTCTTCCCCTGGGGAGTCCTGTGGCCCCCTCTGCATGCCATACCGTAAGATGCAAGATGTGCTGGTCCCCCTTTCTCTCTGGCTCATGTGTAAACCCAAAGGCATTTTCCTCTTTCACCTTAAAATAGGTAAGATAGGTAGATATTTTTGAAAAGTATTTCATTAAAACCCAAAGAAAATAATTACAAGAAATATAAACAGCATGAAATTGCCCTGTTCGCATCACATTTGATCCTAAAATCACCAGTTAAGCTCTATGAACCCTACTCTAGTCTCTTGAGGACAGTGGTTCTCAAAGGGGAGTCACCAAACCAAAAGCATCGGCATTACCTGAGAACTTGTTGGAGATGCAAATTCCCAGGCCCCACCCCAAACCTACTGAAGCCAAAGCTCTGGGGGCGGGGCTAGCAGTAAGTGCTTGAACAACCCCTTCCGGTGATTCTGATGTAGTCAGTTTCAGAGCCACTACCTTATGATAAGTATCTGCCAATACAGTAAGACAAGAAGCTCCCACTCCTTTTCTTTAGACAGTATTGGGCAAACCCTAGGGTTTGAATCAAAGAAAATTTCGTGTCATATTGTGATTCTGCCATATTAGCTGTGACATCTGGGGCCACATCTGATTAACCCCTAGGGTCCCGTGGTCTTCATTTCGTTCACAGGTAAAATGGATTCATACTTTTTAGGATTGTTTAAGATGAAATGAGACCGCAAAATGCCTACCCGCAATCCGGCCCAAGGCAGGTATTAAATAAAGTCAGCTGACTCTCTTTTTAAAGTCTGCATCTCAGTTCTGTGTCCACAGCTCAGTCCAGCAGCAAATGTCTGGCATTTGCAGCCGAATTACTTTCAAAAATAAAAAATAAGTTCCCTAAGTCCAATTCAAATCTCCCAGTACTTCTAAATACACCCCCTTCAGCCAGGTGTTAAGATGGAGAGTCCACCTTATTTCTTAACTGATTTGCTAGAATGACTGGCACTCGTCAGGCCCCAGTGGTCTGGCCTTTCCTGGCTGAGGCTGGAGGAACCGCCACCCCCTAGGGCATTTCCATCCTCCTCACCTCCAGGGGCCTTCCTTCAATCTACTTCTTTCCAATGAACCCTAAAGGACCTTTAACAGTATCATAAATACTCAGAGAGTTAATGGCATTCAGAAACAAATCAGCTGCTCCGAGGAACCAATTCAGAAACAGCTGAGTGTAAGACAAATGCTTAACCATAGTTTTTTGTTTGTTTGTTTGTTTTGGTTTACTGTTTTGAATAAGGAATCTATATCCATGATCAACAGATTCAAATATTATAAAAGAGGATATTATGCAAAGCTAGTATCTCTTTTGTACCTCTGGCACTTAGATCCCTACCCAGAGACAACTATGCTTACTAGCTTTTTGGATAAACTTTCAGAAATAGCCTATATATGGAAAAATCATGGAAAAAAACGATATATACATAGTGACATATATATGTGTGTACATATGCACATGTACACACACATATATTACCTTCTTTGTTTTCCACAGAATGTAATACATTATACACACTGTCTGCACCAAGAATATGGAAATCATGGGCAGAGGGAGATTAATAAGAGACCTTCATGATCTTCAGAGTCCTATATTGGGAAGCCGGAGAGTTTGGATGATATCATCTGCAATATAGAAGAATTTTATCCTACGTCTCTGTGTCTCTGGCTACGCAGAGACACTCTCTTGATGTCTGTATCCGTGTGTGCGTAAGTGTGCACATATGTGTGCCTTACTCTGCACACACACAAACAGGACCATGCCCATCTTTTGGGATCACTGTTCTCTATTACACCAGCCTGCTCACTCATCAGTCCTAGGTTGGACTTCTAGCCCCTGGGATGAATGGCCGCTAGGAGGTCCTGCGCTACCGACTGGCTCCCTGTTCACTTTTCTCACACCCAAGACTGTGTAGCAACATCCAGCTTACTGGGGATTCACACTTGACATTGCCCAAGCCTTAAAGCCCAGTCTGCCTGACGGCACACGTCCCCCTCCTGCATTCCTGACACCTGCTGACAAGCAGCTGATGGGATCTTAATCTGTCTCTCCCCCTTTTTTACAGATGGGAAAAATGAGACCGAGGCCTAGGCCCAGGGAAATTCCTAAAGGAACATGGATAGTGATATACCCTGGAATCAGGACTCTGGGATCAGCTTGGGCAAAGAGGGGTTGGGTGCCTAACAGTAGTAAGTTCTAATCCTGGCTTCACAACAGGAGACCTGTGTTTTCTTGGTTCTGGAGCCTCTGTTGGAAGATCTGTAAGGTAGGGTAATAATAATTACATAGAGAATAATTAGGATTATAAAACAAATATATGCAAAACACCAAATAACGTATACGACAGAATAATCATTTGCCAAATTTTAAGTAGCGCCCCAACACTTCTTAGAGGTTCACCCTCTGAGCTCCAGCTTGCTTTCTTATTTCTGTAAACATTATTCAACTATATAGAGTAGCTCCTGCATCGGGGATACAAAGATGATCAAGATAGTGCCTTGGTCCTTGAGAAGCAGAAGGGGTGGCAGAGACAGCCAGCTAGTTCCTACAGCCCAGGGGAGGCTTCCTTCCATGTGTGATGAGGCTCGCTGGGAACACAGGACACTTATCTACCTGCTGTTGACAATACAAAGGGCAGGGCCAGGGTGTGTGTCTCTGCTGGACCAAGGCCAAGCATGGGGTGAAATGGGAATGCACATTTCCAGCCATATTTCCTCAACCGTGCCCACGGATCCCACAGAGCTACTCAGCAGCACCCCAGCATCCCTGGGGGATTTTCCAAATACTATAGCCAGCACTGTGGCCACTTTCATTTCTGGGCTTCTGGACGCACAGGAACACAAGAGTCTCCCTCCTCTGCAACCAGGCATGTCCTTCCACCTTTCACACTCAGGCCCCAGCGTGACCTCTAGATGAAGTCACCGGAGAAATAAGCCTCTGAGGATAATTTGTCAAGCACGCGATTAGGCAGCGGGGCAAGGAATCTTTCCTGACTTCTGCAGATAGGAGTTTACATCACAGCATGAAATTTGTTTACCCTTATCTTAGCACACAAGAACAAATTATCCCACCCTTGTTATAAATCCAGCAGCTCTGCATCTGTGAGCAGGTTTCCACATAAATCTCCAGCAAACGCTCCTTGGCTGACTGTTCACTTTGTTTGCTGCCTTTTCCTGGCCGCGGCTCACGGAACCGTTAGTCTCACCAGTGGACACACTGGTTTTCTTCTGTAGAGATAACAGAAGGAAAGAAAGAGAGCAACTAGGGTCACGACTGCCCCAGAAACCCCACCACCCACAGCAGACTCTCTCCCGGCTGAACTGCCATGGCTCCATGGGCCAGAAAGATCCGCCAAGCCACAGTGAGATCTGCCCTCAACATCCTGGGAGGCCAGAACTTACCAGCCTGGAGGGGACCCTTGCAGACTCACTCTGTTCCAGACGGTTAGTATGAACAGATGGTCCTGAGTGCGGTGAGGAACCTGTCCAAGTGGGTTTTAAGTGGCCTCAGCAGCCATTTAAATAACGTGGGTCAGGCAGGGAAAGGGGACCCCTCCGTACAGCTAACAGATATGTGATCATTAAAGTAAACATCCTTGGCCTGGATGCCTAGACCTCAAAGGCAATAGGATGGCTTAGTACAAATAATAATGAATAATAGTAATAATAATAATAATAATAATAAATCATTAACAACAACAGCAATAGCTACAGAGCCCTTACCTTACAGTGCAGGGCTCCGCAGGGCTCGGGGCTAGGTTTCCTGAGTGTAATCATCTAGCCTCAGCCCTCCAGGTGTATGACCCCGCAGTGCTCATGGTAGTCCACGGTAGCTCACAGTAGAGGGGGGCGCTGTTACAGCTAGGGACCTGAAGCACAGAAAGGTTAAGTGAGATGCTCAGGGTCACACAGAAGTAAGAGGTAAGAGCTTGATTAAAACAGGCAGTCAGACTTCAGAGCCTATGTTCTAACACAGTGCTTCCTATGCACCAACACACACAAGAATCATCGGGTGACCTTGTTCAGATGTAGATTCTGATTCAGCAGGTCGAAGTAGGGGCCTGAGGTCCTGCCTTTCCCACAAGCTCAGCTCCCAGGGGAGGCCCATGCTGCCAGGTCATAGACCACACTTGGAGGAGGGGCAGCTGGACCCAGGACCCAGCACTATACAGTGGATTGGGAGCACCTCTGTTCGTCCACCTACTCTTTGTTACCTGTCCACAGAGAAAGAAGAACAAAAATTGGGAGTGAGCTGCTAGAAATTTTATAACTATATGACAGTTATTTTATATCTGCTAAATCTAGTAGCAAAAGTTAAGGCTTGTACATCGTTTTATTATTTTTACTGTGTTCATCTAGTAAATTATATCAATGTTATTTTACAAAGGTATTGTACACAAAAAGTTAGAAATTGTAAACAAAACCAGGAAACAAAACAAACAGCCTGGTCCTTCCCTACAGATAATTTGAAAATCACTGCTCAACACTACTATGCTGTACTGATTCCCTCATAGATGAAGAGTCGAGGACCATGGGGTGTATGTATGTCTGTCCCACCTCAACTTCACTTCCTAGAGGTTCCATTTTCTTGTGGTTTTGAGGCAGTTCCGGTATATCAAGCCCCACATGCAGAAGAAAACTGCCATCCATAAAACCCCTCAAGTAATGTGAATTCTGTTCTGCCCCTTCCTGGTTTGGGAACCTCTGCCAAGTCACTCAGTCTCCCTGAGGCTCCTTTTCTTCATCGGTACAATAAAGCCCACCCACTGCGTGGCAACAAGGGATGAAATGCTGTAAAGCATACACAGGGCTTAGCACAACCCCTGGAAAAATCACTAGCAATCAATATAGAGCAGATACAATCATTATTAGGTGAAAAAAACCTGCAAGAAATAAATTCATATCAGGCAATCATTGACTCCATCAGCATTTTTGAGAAAACGCTCCTGACACTCTACTAGGCACTGGGAAGGCAAGATGGTATGCTTCTCGCAACAAAATTGAATTAATTTCTTTTCAACTTAGAACAGTTAGCACCCAATTTCTCACAAAAGTCTGCAACAAAAGCGAAATTTTAATCCTAACCACTAGCAAGAACAGTGCCCCAAGACACTGCAAGATGTCTGGTCATCGAGCAAAAATGTAATTATTTTCATTCTGCTCCAGAAACTTAGGCAGGTAGGTGCACTAACACAGTTTAGAAAGATTTTCAATAATAAGGAATAAAACAAGGCAGGTTTTATTTAACCTTCAGTTAAGCAGAAATCCAGCTAACTAGAGATGGTCAAGGTAGAGTGTTCCTAGTTAATGGTTGTTAGGGTCTGCCTATAACTCATTTACATAATGACCCAGGAGGCAAGAGCCCCTGGGGTTTGTGGACAAGGGAAGGAAAGGGGCTGAGTGCAGTATTGGTAAATGTTGATCAAGTCCCTGACAATTTGGGGCAGGAATTTGTAAATCACTAGGTGAGGGAAATTTGCCAGGTGGGAATGGGAATCTTTCTGACCTTGCCAAAATGGCAGACTTCTTCATGCTCCAGTTTGGTGTTGTGTTTAAGTGCCTGCAGGGATGTAGTGATTCATTCGGTACAGCACACTGAAATCCAATTTATTTATCATAGTTGTCATGTCCCCAAAGCTTTAATGACTCAGATCCTCCCATAGTAATACATTCATTTGTCAAATTAGGGTCCCCAGGTTGTTTCTTTTTCCCCATCTCCCTGGGCTGTCCGGATACAGAAAGTTCAGGTCCCTTTCCCCAATGAGGCCATCTTCTGTCAGTCTGTTACTGAAATCTATATGGGTGTGCTAAAGTCTAAGACACCGGTCTGAAACCCTTGAGCTAGATGCTCTGGTGGAAGCACACCCCACTTAGAGGAGGAGGAAGAAGAGAAAGGAACAGTTAACGGCTGCATTTTGCCTTAGCAAGAAGCTCCTTCCTGTTGTTGTTGGTCACATCAGTGGGACAAATAGTGGCTGGAGCACCAGGGTCCCCTGTCCAGTGGGGCTTGCATTCAGAGCCATCTGAGTCCATATCCTGTTGGTTGGCTGATTTGACACTTTAGGTAGTTCACTTTCCCCAGCTCTAAAATGGGGATTAGAATCATAAATGGAACCTGCCCTGTGAGGTCATGAGAAGGGTGAACCAGGTAATGATTACAAAGAGTTAGCACGGTACCTGGCACAGAATGAATTCTGCTATCTCAGAGACAAGACCTCATCTTTCTCTGGTTCACAGTGAAGAGTAGCATAATATGCTACCCCAAAAGGTGTCGCTTTGGCACAAGGATTAATTTGAGTTGAAGGCAACTGAGAAGCAGATATAAGAAAAGCTTTCTGCCCTCCCCGTCTCTGCCTGAAGACAGACATAAATTCCCCTTGTTAAGGTGTCCCCCTTCTCCACTTCCTGTACCGTTGGAGATAAGATGACACCGAGAAAATTTCCATTAGTTTACCATTAGTTTCTCCATATATTTGTCTTGCCATAATTTGCTTTCCATAGAAGTTCAAAGCCCTTTGTCACGTCACTTCTCTACAAAATTACTGTACTTTGCTAAAATATAAAAAAGCCCAAGTTGCAACCACCCTTTTGATCTACTCATCACAGAGGGCTCCTATATATGTGTGTTATGCACACATTAATAAGCAAGTAAAAAGCATTTTATTTGTTTTTCTCTTGTTAATCTGTCATCTGCTAGTCTAATTTGAGGACCCCAGCCAATGAACCTGAGACAGAGCAAAATTATTTGCTTCCTCCCCTACAAGAGCTATGTACAGAGTGATTATAGCTTCTCCAATTTGTAAAAGCTCAGTAAACATAGCTTATATACTTATCCTTTTGGCTCAGTCTCTAAATATCCCTTGTCTGGCATCCCCAACTGCTTTTAGGACTCTTAAGACAAAGGCTTAATTCTATGCATTCATTAATCTATTACTTAAAAAATGCTTACTGAACATCTCTTAAGCTGTTCAGTAGATGCTAGTTGGTATGATGGAGCCCTGAGCATCCAGAGGGCAAGGATCAGATTTTGGTCCCTTTGCATAGCAAGTGAGAACGATGGATGGCATAAAGTAGGCCTTCAGTAAGGATTCCTGGAACGGGACTGGCAGACACAGCAGCTGACTGCCATGCACAGTGGTGCACATTCAGCCCCAGCCACAGAGTCCAGGGCAGGGCTAGCCCACAGGTAAGTCCTCCCTATGTAGAGGGAGAACCCCATCCCATCCTTTGCTCCTGCAGTGTCGTCAGATAACTCATCCACTCAACTGGCAATCAACCCCCAATGCCATGACCTTTAGCAAAATCCTTTCTTGATATCTGTTCTCCTTAATAGGACCTTATTGACTTCCTTTTTTTTTTTTTATTTCTCCCCCTTGACCCACTTTACTCCATCAGCTTCTTCCTGGTTCCACTTCACACCTTAGTTTTGCAAACTGAACACATACTTGAAACTCAAAATCACTTTTTAAAGAAATGCTACTCCTGAGCCACACAAAATGAGAATATCAGGCTAATCCAAAGAAGGGTTTGTTTACTTAGCACATAATTGTCAAGCATCTACTATGTGTAGGACACTACACTGGACAATGGGGGTACAACAGTGACACATCAGTCTGGCCTCCTTGAGACATGGGCAATGATGAAAGAAGCAAATACAATCACTATTGTAATAAGTGTTTCGTAGGAAATAAATGGGTTGAAGAAGGGTGAGGTGGGTAACAAGCTCGTTAGCAAAACCCCCTCTAAGGACTTGACTTAATTGGAGGCATAAATAATACAAAGGACTTAGCTTTGTGAAGAGTGGAATTCCAGAACATTCCAGGCCCAGGGAATGGACATGTCAAGGTCTGAGGTAATCACAAGCTTGGTGTGGACAGGAAACCAAGGACTGATGTGGCTGAGCCATATAGAGTGGGCAACTGGGAAACTGGGAGGACATGAGGCCAGAAGTGTGGTGAGGAGTCAGATTCATGAATGAAGGCAAAGATGGAAGGAATGTGGAGTATGAAGACAAAGGAACTCACCCATATTGGCTACTATCTGAGCCAGCTGGGTGGCTGGAGGTTACCCCTACTCTGTGGCACTGTCTTGTGTCTGATTCTTGACTCCGCAAATCACTAGCTGTGTTGTCACGGGTAAGATGCTTGAGGATATTGATAATAATGCCTAGCTCATAGGTGAGACTTAGATGAGTGAATATACATAAACCTCTTAGAATGGCATTATTTATAATAAGCACTTCACAGATGTTAGCTGCTACTAACTTATTTGTTTATTACCACTTTCATGAATTCTTCATCATCTGAGGTATAATCCTTAAGCTCAAAGGCTCAGAAACCCAACTCTGCCAACCCATGGAAAGTGGAGGGACTTAGCCCACAGAGTCTGAAGCATAAAGCCAGGCCCCCACCTCTCTTGCTGACTGACGAAAAGAAATATAATTATTAGGTCAATTTGTACTGTTTATAAGCATGTCTTCTACGGTTCCCCAAATGCCTCTCAGGAGGTATGCTTTGTTGGTAGGTAGTAGAACATGCTCGGTAATGTTAATGGTAGGTGTCCTGGCTCTGTAAAATTATCTTTTAACCCAAGAGATCTAAGATATTACAATTTCAACATGCAATCACTTGGAAAAAATTAGTAAGATATTTTACTTTTTCGTACCATATTGTAAAATTGGTGTACATTTTACATTAACAATACATTTCATTTCAGACCAGCTACATTTCAGGTACTCAATAGCCACACATAACTACACACAACTAGAGGCTACCATGTTGAACAGGGCAGAGCTATAATTTCTTGATGAATTTAGCTGTGTTAAATTCTTCTTAACCCACTTCTTAACCCCTCTGAAATTCA